TAGGGACTCTGTTCTGCCTCCACCAATGGCTTGTGTGACCTTAACTCACTCACCTCCTTCAAGTCTTTTGTTCAGTGTCGACTGCTCGGAGACCTGCTTTGTCCCCCATCAACTAATGCAACCAGCCCTATCTTCCCATTAGCTCCAAATTTTCTTGGCTCTCTTCTATTTTTCTTCATTTCCCTAGCAATTATATACTTTTTTTTTTTTTTTCCGTCCCTGGGATGTGAATTTTTCAAGAGAAGATCCTTTGCTACATGCCCTGCTAGTGCCTCGCCCATGGCAGGCATACAATAATTTTTGGCTGATGAGAACATATAGAGAGCATCACTCTTCATTTCTCTCTCTGAAAATATACAGGCTCAGCAACCTCGTCATATTCCACCTAGGCGTCAGTCGCGGCAAGGGAGGAGGCAAGTGGTTCAAACTGGACAACCAAAGGGAACAGAAGTAGCAGCTCCACTTTCAGGTAAAGAGAGGGAAGAAAGGGAACCTCCCTGGTGGCACAAGGGGTTGAGCACAGCGCTGTGAAGCTGTCCACAGCCTCTGCAGCATGAGTTCGATCCCTGGCTAGGGAGCTACCCACATGGCGCAGCAGACCTCTCCTGTCTTGCCCGCTGCTCCCCTCAGCAGTGTGTTTCAGTAGATCTGCCTGTTCTGCTCCCCACTCTGTCTCTGGTGAGTTCTCTCACCTCCCACACCTCTGACCTGTACCCTAGTTCTTGTATGCATAACAAATAAATCTTAAAAAAAAAAAAAAGAGGGAAGAAAGAATGTGGTGGGGGTGGGGTGCACTTGATACATAAGAATACAGCGTGATGATAAGATTCTAGACAGAAGTCTTGGTATTTTCATGGTTTGGCAGGATGAGAAGGAGGTGCAGCTAGTTTGTCACTATTTCCTAGCCTGTAACGAATTATTGGCTGTCCGTGTTTTATTCCCTCTGTTTTAAGGCTTATGGAAAATAAACGGAGATCATTATTCAGTAGCCAATTCATTGTAATTGCTTTTCACATTTAGATAATGCCTGTGTATTCAGTAATTCTGAGTTAACTAGGATTTCTTAGAACATCAGTCCGTGGGCTTGTAAATCACTGCACTGAAAGATTGAGCAGCTTCTTGAATTTCTCAGTGTTCACCTGAGATTATCCTCATAGATGGAGGATTATTGTGTATAGGTGAGCACACAGCTCAGCTGTTGTGATTTGCCAAGAATTTGACTGATTCAATTAAAACTCAGATCTGATTCCCCAGTTTCTTTTTTTTTTAACTTTGGAATATTTATAACGTTAACATGAAACTATCCTCTTTAGCTGTTTTAAGTGTGTGATGCAGCACTGCTCACTATAAGCACAATTTTGCACACCAGACCTCCAGAACTTACCTTACATAACAAATCTTACACCTCTTCACCAGCAACTCCCCATCTCCTCCCCCACACCCCCTGAAAATCACCATTCTACTTTCTACTTCTATCAGTTTGAGTAGTTTAGATATCTCATAAGTGGAATTACTCAGTATTTCTTTCTGTGACTGACTTATTTAACTTTGCTTAATGTCCTCAAGATTCATGTTATATATTGTAGGATTTCCTTCTTTTTATGACTGAATAATAGTCCATTGTATGTATACCACATTAACTTCATCCATTTACCTATTAATGGATTTTAAGGTTGCATCCGTGACTTGATTTTTAAAAAAATATTTCTAGTACTTTAAAAATCCATATTTACAATGAACATGGGAGTGCTGATATCTCTTCAGGATCCTAATTTCAAACCTTTTATTTAAATACCCAGAAGAAGGATTTCTAGACTGTATGGTACTTTTATTTTCCATTTTTAAAGGGATTTCTATTCTGTTTTGCATAGCTGCTGGGCCATATTCATTCCTACCCCAGTATGCAAAGATTCCAATTTCTCTATTTTTCACCAGTACTTGCCTTTTGCTTTTTTGCTTTTGTTTTTAATAAAGCCATTCTTACAGTTGTGAAGTCATAGCTCATTATGGCTTGGGCTTGCGTTTCTCTAATTAGTGACCTCAAACATCTTTTCATGTACCTGTTGGCTATTTCATGTACCCATGTGATGTCTTTGGAGAAATATGCAAGTCCTTTCCCTGCTTAAGAATTGGTTTATTAGCTTTCTTTGTTGTTGAGTTTTAGGTGTTTCTTATGCATTTGGACATTATCAGATACATAGTTTGCAAATATTTTTTCTCCCATTTCTGTGAGTGGCCTTCTCATTCTGTTGAACATTTCTCTAGCTGTGTAGAAGTTTTTCAATTTGATGAATTCTTACTTGTCTATTTTTGCTTTTGCTACCTAAGCTTTTGGTGTCATTTCCATTACATGATCACCAAGAGCAAAGTCCTGAGGATTTCCCCCTGTTTACTTCTAGGAGCAACACAGTTTGAAGTCTTATATTCAAGTCCTTTAGTCATTTAGTGTTTTTTGTGTATGGTGTAAGATAAGGGCACACTTTTATTCTTTGGCGTGCGATATTCAATTTTGCCATCACTATTTGTTGCATATTGTGTATTCTGGCTGAAGACTGACTATATGTGCTTATTTCTGAGCTTTCTGTTCTGCTCCATTGGTGCAATATGGTATTGCCTTTAAGCCAATACCATACCTTTTAAATACTAAAGTTTTGTGGTGTATTTTGAAATTGGGAAGTGTGGTTTTCTAGCTTCGTTCTTTCTCAAGATTGTTCTGGTGTTTAGTGGAGGCCATTATTCCCTACAAATTTTAAACCTGTTTTTCTGATTCTATTTTTCTTTTAAAAAAAGCCACTGGGACTTTCATAAGGATTGCACTGAATCTATAGATCACCTTTGGTAGTATGGACTTATTAACAATGCTAATTCTTCCAATCCATGAACATGAGCTATATTTCTGCGTGTATCTTATTTAAATTCTTCCATCAGTGTTTTTTAGATCTCTTAAATGTCAACCCCCCCTCTTTTTTTTGCTTCTATTGAGACAATTGTATATTTTTTATCCTTGAATATGTTGACTCATCCTTGCATCCCAAGGACAAATCTCCTTGGTCATAGCATATAATCTCTTCACTGTGCTGTTGTATGTGATATGTTTGATTCAGTTTGTTAGTATTTTGTTGAGTATTTTAGCACTGTATTCATTGGGGGTATTGCTATACAGTTTTCTTGCAGTACCAAAACTGCTATACAGTTTTCTTGTAGGATTTCCTTCTTTTTATGACTGAATAATAGTCCATTGTTGGAGGACTAATTAGGATAATAATGGAATTAGGATAATAATGGCCTCATAGCATGAGTTAGGGAGTGTTCTCCCTTCTCGAATTTGGGGCAGAGTTTAGATTGTTCATCTTATTCATATGTGGTCTTCTTAAATGTTTAGTAGAATTCAGCAATGAGGTCATCTGGTCTGAGTTTTTCTCTTGGGTTTTTCTTGGGATATTTTGAATTACTGATTCAGTATTCTTTCTAGTTATTGGTCCACTTGGACTTTATATTTATGATTTCATCTCAGTAGGTTGTATAGGAATTCCTGGTTATCTAGTTAGCACAGAGTTGTTTATTAACAGTCTCCTGTGATTCCATTCTCTCTGCACTGAGTCAGGGTGGAGAGGAGCTATGAGGAACAGAACACTAGTTCAAAGCAGTGCCTTTGTTTTCCGTAGTTCTTGGGGTCTGCGTATGCTGGGTCCCATCACTGCATAGAGACCAGCAAGCTGGAAGTCAGCCCTTTGGGCAGCACTTGGAAAAGTTGGGACATTGAATGTGTGGCTAACTATTCCTTAGCAGAGAGAAGCTGCTTATCACATGGTACAATGTGGGTGGGAATTAGAGCAAGATATCTGTGGCAAGTTTTACACTTGCTCAGAGTATAGGAGTTTCTCAACCGAGTTCTGTATTTATACAAAGAGACTGATCCTTGTAATGGTACAGAATTAGTGTTTTCATTGGGAGAAGGCATGTCCAGGGTTCCTGCTCTGCCATCCTGCTGATACCAATATCCTTCACTTGTTTCTTATGGCAAAATATATTATCAGGGGGTCAAAGCTTTAACAGTACAAAAAGAAAATGCAGGTAAATATTTTATAGTAAGCTGATGCAAAATCTCAATTCCATAAAATGAAGTTATAAATTTACATACAAAAATTAAAACACCTATCTTTATCACATATAGGACATAGCTGAGTAGTTGTGATTAAATATTGTATGTAAAGTGCTCTACAGAGCAAATGCTAGCTGCTGTTACCTTTCACTGATGTGACTGACTGCTGGATGTGTCTGGAATGAGTTGAGAGTTATTTTGATAAAATCATGTAGACATTTTTTATGTAGAAAATGTATGAGTTTTTCTATAAAAATATTCGGACTAATACTTTATGAGATCATCATAAATAGGGACAATAGCTTCTCAAAGTAACATTTTTTGTACCCCATGGTATAGTGTATTCGCCATTCAGGGGAGAAGGGTTCATGAATACTGTGAGTCTATTTTTCACAGTGCTCTAAGCTCTCATTGAGAGAGAGCTTTGTACTGTTATTCAAATATTGACCCTGTAAAAGAAATATTTAAATCTGTATGAACATTAGAATGTAATAAAAATAGTGTGAGAGGCTTTCCCAGATGCTGTTCAGAAAAAGTAGATAGGTCCCCACTTTTTTTGAATGGGTTGTTCATTGTCAGTGTTTTCTGACGCCCTGCCCAGTAGAGGGCAGTGTGGTGCTAGGTGCTAGGTCTAGCAAGGTATAGAGAGGGATGGTTCTGCCCTGAAGAATCTTGTACTTTTGTAACAGGGTGGTCCCCAGGAAAGGGGGAGGTTCCCTGCCCCACCCAAGGGAGGGTGGAGCTGAACAGGGAGAGGAGAAGCTGCAGAAGAGACTGAGGAAGGAAGCAGGATGGAGCCAGAAAGAGACCTGGAGGAGGCACATGGAGCCTAGAGACATGTGAAGAAACTGCGCTTGTCTTTTGGTCATGGACGGGGTGACACAGATGTGGGTGAGACCCGTGGGGAGGTGACAATGGCAGCTTTTATCTTGATGTTGATTTTGCTCTTTTCCTCTGGGCTTGTCTGGTTGTTTCTGAACCTTTTCTGTGGGTCTCCACTGGAAGGTGCTTTAGACTTGTGGCAGGCTTTGGGGCCTTGCTCTGGGCCAATCCCATTTGGATGGAGTTTTACCCACGAGGGGACGGGTAACTTTGGGTGCTTGATTTAGAAACTATATTCTTTGCCTTTCCTGTATTGTTTCCTAGTTTTATTAAAGTTCCTTCCCATTAAAGTCTCATATGTTTTGTGTTGATGCGGCGGATGGCAGAACCCATTTAGAATAGGCAGGTTTACAGGGTTTGGGCTGCCCCTCTCCCTGCCCTGTAACACGTTGGGCAAACACCTAATGAAATAGCACAGCAGGGATGAATGAGAGGTGAAGCTAAGCACGGAAGGGGACTTGGGGCTCTTTGGGAGAGTCTTCTGGGTAACACTCCCCTTCGCTGGTGACCCACGACTAAAATGTATGTATTCATTCACGTCATGGCTTGGACTTTAAATACTTTAAACAACCCTGGCTATTGTAGTTAGTACCTGCCATTAATCTTATCCTTTCTAAAACTTTCCCCTTTTAACTATATAATCCCACGTCTTTCACATTTAAATGTAGAAGAAGAGCAACTCTCAGCCAGATTGCAGAAGGCATCGCTGAGCGAGAGGAGGGTTCGCAGAGGAGTTTTTGGAGACCTGGTGGTGAATACGCGGCAGTACATGGAACATGTTAGAGAGTCGAAAACAGGTATGCGGGCCACTGGCAATCCAGTTTTAAGGACTTGTTCATTTTAAATGTTTGGTAAGATCCATGTTTGTGTGTGAGCCTGTGAAATGTCATACATCCCTCTAAGTGGAGGGATCCCCTCACCAGCTCACCTCTTTGTAGCAACATTCACTTTTGCAGGAATGAAGAGTCATTTTAAGATCCTCAAGTATTGTCTGTTTTTCTCTTTTCCTCTTATAACTGCTTAGAGTGACCTAGTTCTTTGGTTGCGCTGAGTTTTTTGTTATTGTTGTTGTTGTTTTTTAAAGAAACCTAAAAATCATTGCATGCAGTGGCATCTGCTTCCCCCAACCAGGCCCTCTTTTGAAAGCCTGGTGTTGCAGAGGTTTTATTTTGACCTCTTTTTGTTTAATATATCTTTCTTATATATTTTTCTTAACTTCCTAAGTTATAATTACATAAGAATTCATCTATATTGATGTTGGCATTCTGTATGACAGATGCACGTGTTTCTGTGTTGTTAATGTTCTTTTTTGACTTAACTTTACCTCTCAATATTGTGCTGTCTCAATTGTTTGGGCTTCAGGGGACTCCCGGGTGGCCTAGGGGTTAAGTCTCAGTGCTATCACCTCTGGCCTGAGTTTTATCCCCCTCCAGGGAGCTAACCCACATAGCGCAGCAGACCTCTCCTGTCTTGCCTGCTGCTCCCCTCAGCAGTGTATTTCAATGGATCTGCCTGTTCTGCTCCCCACTCTGTCTCTAATGAATCCTCTTGCCACCCCCCTCCCCGCACCTCTAGCCTTCACCCCAGTTCTTCTACACAAAAAAATATTTGAGGGGTCCAAACTCATTTCATTATTGACATGTGGCTCATTTTTCAGGCTCCGAAGGCAGAATGGTAAAGCTATTTTCCAATCATTTCCAAATGAGATCTCGCCTCCAGACTGCCACGTATAAGTACAACGTTAACTACCAGCCAGATGAAGGTGATGAAATGTTACAGGAACATTTACGTGTAGAACTTGAAAAATTATTTGGAAATCACCAGATATTTGATGGAAACTCTTTATTATTACCTCACAAGCTGGATGAAGGGGTTAAGTGACATTATTTAACATTTCCCTGACTTTGTTCATTCTCCTGCATGTTCATTTCATTACAGCAAAACTTTCAATGATTCTGTACAACAATTTGTGGAGCCATTCTGAAGATCTCTTACCCATTTGTCTTGTAATGAAACCCATGTGCTATGTTTATCATTGATATCTAATGTCCCAACTTTTGGGGTTTAAGCTTTATTTAATAATGGAGTCAAAAAATCATTTACCGGGCCTCCCCTGGTGGTGCAGGCGGTTGAGCACAGTGCTGTGAATCTGTCCACAGCCTCTGCAGTGCCAGTTCAATCCCGGCTGGCTGGCGAGGGTCCCACATGGGGCAGCAGACCTCTCCAGTCTCGCCTGCTGCTCCCCTCAGCAGTGTATTTCGTCAGTCTGCCTGTTCTGTTCCCCGCTCTGTCTCTGGTGAATCCTCTCACCCTCCTGCGCATCTGACATGTACCCCAGTTCTTGTATAAATAAATAAATCTTTAAAAAAAATCATTTACTTTTTAATAGCACAGTGTGTTGCAAATATGCTGATCATGAAGTTTTGGATAATTTACTTTTCTATTGTTTCCTCCAAAGCTTTAGCAAAAATTAAAAAAAAAAATGGGGAAAGGACATGTTATTTTCTTCAACTTCTATATTAATTAACCAAATAAGTGTGTAGGAACTTGTTTGGGTAAAAAAAAAATTGTTGTGACTTATATAATTCTGATTCTTCACTGTTGTCTTATAAATCACGTTTTCTACATGTGGGAAAGGATTGCTGTTGCCACGTTGGGGTTCTGGATGACTAAGTGATACTGACTTGTAGAGAATGTAGTTTAGTTTCCCTGAAAGAAAATTTGGACCTTTGTTTTGCTTTATTTCAGGATATGACATTGTCTAGAAAATTCAATAATCAGATGTATGTGATCACAATAGAATTCTCCAAAGAACTCCAGCCCTCTGACCCTGATCTCCTACGCTATTACAACATTCTCTTGAGAAGGTATGTTAATGAGATTAGCTTGCATGAGGTTTGATTGTGTGGTACTATGTGGTACGGGTGGTGAACATAGCCATTTGTTTGTAGCATTTTGTGCTCTTAGTCCTTATGCACGGAGAGAGTAATGGATTTGAAGATGACACTTGAGACTCACTAGTCTTGTACTAATGTGGTACATTCTCTTAGATTTTTTTTCTCCCTATGTTCCTCACTGCCCATATCTGGTGTTCATCTAGGAGGAGTAGCAGATGTCAGATATGCAAAGCAACATTCCTTTTTGAGGCAAATACTTTAAATTTTGCACTCACTATGATGAACAAATTTTCAAAATAAATATCTGAGACATATTTAATGTAAAAAAGATGTTTTGGTCCATATCTGGTACTGAAGGATATTCTGATGGTCTTTGTACAATATTTTATATTATGTAAAGGAGACATTGTTGAAGTTAAAAGAACTTTAATATCTACCTTATAATATAATTTACTTGTTATGTCAGGTACTTTGTGTTAATTGTTAACATAAAGTAACAGACTTTTTCCCCTTGTAATGTGTCCATTGTGTTGCAGCCTGCTGAATATTCAATGCTAGTTCAACCAAACTTTGTTTTTCAATTTTTAGAATTTTGAAGAAAATGAAAATGAAACAACTTGGTCGCAACTATTACAGGAATGATAAAAAAATTGACTTCCGAACAGAAAAGTTTGTATAAATGGAAAGTTACATGTTCTGTAGACATAATCATGAAAGTGTTTTTGAGAAAGTTATTCTCATTGAAGTGACATTATTTATAAATGATGGCCTTTTCAGTGGCACCCAAGGCTGTGAACAATTAAGTTACAGTTTAATTTATATTTAAAGTGAAAGATTTATTCTTAAAATCCTAGCATGAAAAACATAACCCTTAAGATATTCACTTAGTATGTAAACCTCATAGGAAACCTAAATAATCACCCCAATTTGGGGCACTTCTCTTGGAAAATATTTTTAATCATAACTATTATAGCTACATATGTGTGTGTATATATATATTACTTATTGGCACATATGTATATGATTACATCATATATATTTTCTCATACATTTATCTGGGTGGTAATAAAAATGACTTAACAAAGGTGATGTAGTACTTATAACTAGCACATCTAGTAAATCTCCATTTGCAGGCCCTTCTAAAGACTAATTATTACTAAAAATAAGAAATTAAGTATCAATTTTGGACCATGAGTTAGGCTCCATAACACTTGCTTTTATGTTCAAAGCTTGGACTTTGATAACTACATCTAACTTCTTCTATTTGCAGTCTGAAAATCTGGTGTGGTTATATTACTTCTGTTCTTCAATATGAGAACAGTATTACCCTCTGTGCTGATGTGATCCATAAACTGATTCGAATAGAAACTGCCTTCGATATAATAAGAAAGCTTGTTGGAGAAGGAGAGGCAACAAAAGAGACTCAAGAGTTAGTTGATAAGGAATTAGTTGGATCAATTGTTTTTACCACGTAAGTTGACTTTGGAAACCTATCCAATCACTTTGATAACTTTTTTCTATAAGGGATGATCCTGTAATTTTCTAAGCATTAAACATTGAGGTTTAGGAGTGGAAAGAGTATGAAAATGGCAAGAATCATTAGACACTTTTTCTCATTTGGTGTGTGTATGTGTGTGTGTGTGTATATATGTGTGTGTATATATAATGTGTACATATACATCTACATATCTACATATATAAATAAATTCGGGAGAGGAATGTGTGTCAATTGTAGACTTTGCTATTTGTGAAGTTCCTAATGTTAATTTAGTCACTTGCTGTGATCTCTCTCACAGTTTAGTTTGCTCCTTCTGAATAGTAATAGTTTACTCCTTCTGAATTTCTTCTTTCCCTTCTCTTTGCATTTAGCTGCTTTAAAAGTCAGTACTTAATTATATAATCCTTTTAACAAATTTCCATTTGAAGGAAGTTTTTATTTTTAATCTCCTTTCACCAGAAACTTTAAGTTGATAGAGAATAGATTTAAAGTTACTTGCCAAAATAATTGTAAGTGTAAAGTTGGAGGACTCATACCTAGTTTCAAAACTTCTACAAAGCTGCAATAATAAAGACAGCATGGTACTTGTATAAGAGTAGACATATAGATTTTGAAGAGAACTGAGAATATAGAAGTTTACCCTCACATTTATAGTCAGTTGATTTTCAACAAGGGTTTCGAGACTATTTGGGGAAAGAATAGTCTTTTCAACAAATATTACTGTATTAACTGGATATCCATCTGCACTTCACATATACAAAATTAACTAGAACTAAATGTTAGAGCTAAAAGTATAAAACTCTTAGAATATATAGGATTAAATCTTCTAGACTTTGGATAAGGCAAACAAATCTTATTAGATAAGACACCCAAAGCACAAATGATGATAAAAGAAAAATATAGATATATTGTACCTCCCATCTCATAAATAACTTGTAAGTTTTCTTTATGTATATGGATACAACTTAGTAATGGAAAGGTAACCCAAGTTTAAAAAAAATCAGCAAATGATCTGAATAGACATTTTTCCAAAGAAAATATACAAATGCCCAGTGATGTCTTGAAAAGATGTTCAACATCATAAGCCATTAAGGAAATGCAGATTAAAACTACAGTGAGATAAATACCACTTCATACCCACTGGAATGGCTAAAACTAGAAAGGAAGGTATCAATAGGTGTTGACAAGGAAGTAGAAAATTTGAAACCATCCCTTATGCACCGCTGCTATAAAAAAATGGCCTCTTTGAGAAATAGTCTGGTGTTTCCTCAATATGCTAAATATAGTATTACTGTATGACCCAGCAATTCTACCCTGCTGTATTCCCAAGAAAAATGAAAATGTGTCCACCAAAATAGTCTCATGAATGTCCATAACATCATTATTCATCATAGCTCAAGAGTGCAAACAACCCAAATTTTCATCAGCTAGAGAATGGATGAACAAAAATGTAGTCTATCATAAAATGGAATATTATCTGGCACTAAAAAGGAATTAAGTACCAATACATGCTGCAGCTTCAAACTTGAACATTGAAAATATTATGGTAAGTGAAAGAAGCCAGTCAGGAAATATCAGTATTGTATTTTATCCAATTTATGTTAAATGTGATGAGTAGGCAAGTATATAGGGTCAAAAAGTAATTTAGAGGTTGCCTAAGGAGTTGGTTGGAAATGGGGAGTGACCGTTCATGTTTGTGATGTTTCTTCTTTGGGTGACAAAAATGTTCTAAAATTGATTGTGTTAATGGTTACACAACTCTGTGAATGTACTGAAAACTTACATGGTTGAATAGTTACGTGAATAAATCTTAAAACAAATATATCCTGCAATTACTTGCATCATGTAAAACCCAGGCAATCAAAAAACCAGAAATAATACATGTTGTGATTTAATTTATAGTTACAACAACAAAACCTACAGGGTGGATGCTGTTAATTGGAAGGAGCATCCTACATCTAAATTTACAACATCAAGGGGCACGCTAATTAGCTATCAAGAATACTGCAAACAGGTTTGAAATTTTGTTTCTTTCAATATATTTAAATCTTATATTTTTTCATATTACATAGCTGTGTTTCTCTGAAGTCATGTGCATATTTGTATATTCTCCCTTCTGGGTATTATAGCTTAACGTATCTATGTAGATCTTTTTTTGTGTATTAAAAGTGCCTTGTATATGAGGTAATGTCACATAATTGGAATGGGTTCCATATGGCCACTCCTGTCAGTCTTAAAAACGGGTATGGTAGTTTTAAACATGTAGATGGTTACTAGGTAAAAAATAAAATATGTTACAGGTTCAGATAAGAAAAAACCTTTTATATAAATTTCAATCTATGGAGCTTAGATCAAAAAGAATGACCAATTACCACCTGAAATGTCAATTATATGCTAAATGTCATAATTCATATATCTCTTGATATTACTCATTTCTTCGTGAAAACTCCAATTAAACTTAGGAGACTAAAACACACCAGTTACAGAGGCTGGTTTTCTAGCTTTGGCAGCCAAAAGAGAAAGAAGCAAAGGGATTGCAGCTGTTTGATGCAAATAGAAAGAACTTGTAAATGGATGATTTGAAAAAGAACAGCTTGCATTTTTCATATTGGAACCTAAAGCATAGTTACTTAGAACCACTGAAAACACAACCCTCTGACATCTCTTAAGGAAATGGTTCTATTTAACATTTTCCTCATTTAACCTCCACACTTAATACTTGTTCATTCAATCTGAAAAACATTTAGTGAGTATCACATATCTTGAATACACATTGGAAAGGCAATTGAATTCTCTGCTTTCTAGGAACTTTTATTCTCCTGACAGACAGAGTGTGGGTAAACAAGAAGAAAACTATTCTGAAAGTTATAAGGGATGTGCAGATATGCAGATAATTAAAGTGGGGGGGTATATTATGGAGAATGCATGGTGGCTAATTAGACTGGGTGGTCATGGAAAATTTCTGAGATGCTGTTATGTAAATGCCAAAAAGGCGTGAGCTGTATGCAGATAAGAAGAGAATAGTGCAAAGGTACATTTTCAGACCTAAATGTTAGAGCTAAAAGTATAAAACTCTAGATAGATGCAGATCACAGTATGTTCTTTAGAGAAGAAACAGGCCAGTTTATCTTCTAGGAAAGATGATTGGATTTTATTGTTGAATGGTCATATGTAGATGATTGAAGTGATATATTTTATTCTAAATATGATTTTGTATAATGTGCAGAGCATGAGCTGTATGGAGATAAAATGGAGATTAAAATGGAGATGGGGAGACCAGTAAAGAGACTGTTCAGTTGGCTTGGGTAAATGATAGTGGCCTGGATTGGGGTAGATGGTGAAAAATGGACAGGATTTGTTGACAATTCATATGTAGTAATGTGATGGAAAGAGGAGTCTGCAACATAACTCTTTAAGGAAGTAGGTGAATGTTGGCATCATTTACCAGAGTGGGAGTCTGTGGGAGGTGCTGGCTTGGGAACGACATGGGAATGAGATATATTTCCATGATGTGTTGCAAAACTGGAGTGTGCAACGGTGCTAGACATAGTGGCCTCAAAGGAGAGGGCACGTCCTCCTTGCTGTCAACCCATTTCTGCTCCTGGATATGAATGAGAAAAGTCATGCTGAACCCTGAGGAGGGCAGCATCCTGAGGAGGAGGTATGCTAAGATCAAAGGGGCATCCAGAAGCTCTGCACACCATAGCTGCTAGCAGCCCAACCTTCATTAATGGTGAGTAGACTTATCAGAAACCCACACTAATGGGTTTTTAAAGTAGTCATGGTCCCTAACTCATACTCTAGTCAATTGTGATATAAGTGCATTTCGAAGGGTTAAGCAGAGCTGTGCGTAGAGAGAAAAGATCTGAAAGGCTATATGTCTGGATATACACTGAAATTGAGAATCTTTTTAGGATTGGTAGAGTTATGTGTAACATTTTCTTGTTGTAACTTATCCATGATTCTACACATACATGTATAATATACACAAGCTCCCACCTTGAGAATGCTCTGGGACAGAGGATTGGAGGTGAATCCCAACTGTCTTTCAGATGACTATAGACCAGTTGAAGAATTAAAAAAAAAAAAAAACTGTAACAATGTCACCTGAAGTGACAATAGTAGCTAAGCTCAGGGTGAAAAGAGCTATGACCACTGAGCTGTCTTCTTTCCAAATTGGGGTCTCCTTGAGAAGTTTCCTGATGATTTGAAAACAGGTGAAACCAGAATTCATGTAGCTTAACTGTCATTGATGAGGACCTTGCTAATAAATAGCAGAGAAACCTCTGTGAAGAATAAAGGCAGCCCCGTGGTATGAGAATGGCAGCATTCTGTATGTGCTTTGACAATACCTCCCTCTGCTGGAAGCAGAGTAAGATCTTGGGGGACAGAGGCAGGAAAACTGTTGGGAAGAGATTTGGAATCACAACTGTAAAAAGTAGCCATGTATTTTGTTTCATGTGCAGGAATCCTCTTGAAAATTTTTTATTGTGTTTAAGGAAATTTTAAGGCAATATTGTGGTGAGAAATAGACACTCTAAGGGTCCTTCTCTCATCTACATATATGAGTTAGGGTAGCCCAATGACTCCAATATGTTGTGCAGGTGTCCTACTCCCCTTGCCCAGGAATATTTATAAGAGAGATGTGAATCCCTGGCACATCAAAATTAAGAGAATATTTAATGCATTCTTAAACTTAAGGAAACAGTATCACCTGCATACCTATGGGCTCCTTTGTGATCCCAAAATATACTTAATACCTATTTACATAATGTTACTATGGTTTTGCTGATAAATCATGCCAGCGTTTTTTCTTTTGTTGAGCAGAAATACAATACAGAGATCACTGACGTGTCTCAGCCACTTTTGATCAGCAAAGGAAAATGGAAAAAAAGCCTACAGGGGATAGCCCATCAACCTATACAGCTGATTCCTCAGTTGTGCAAATTGACAGGTACTGTGGATCTATGCAGTTTCTAGAGAAGACAACCCCTCTTAAAAGGGACGGGTGTTGAATACCCCAAAACAGATGACTGGAGCAAGAAGATGTGGTCTGTACACACAATGGAATACTATTCAGCAATCAAAACAGATGAATTTGTGCCATTTGCAACAAGATGAATGGAACTGGAAGGGATAATGCTCAGTGAAATAAGTCAGAAGGGAAAAAAAAATTGGGTGGTTTTACTTATAGAAGGAATATAAGGAAACTGAAAAAAGGGTAAAAATAAAAACCCACAAAACTTGCAGGCAAACTATAGTTATGAGGCACACGGCAGGGGAGTGGGAGGGAGAAGGGTCAAAACAGGAGGGAAAAGCACAAGGGACTATAGTGACAGTTCACGGGAATGTGGTGTTGGGAGATTTGGTGGGAGTACACCTGAAAGGAGAAATCAAATATTATATAAAAATGAACAATGTAGGGCCACCCCAGTGGCGCAGCAGTTGAGCCCTGGGTTGCGAAGCTGCCTGCAGTCTCTGCAGCACCGTTTGATCCCCAGCCACCGGGCGAGGGTCCCACATGGTGCTCAGACCTCTCCTGCAGCACCCACTGCTCCCCTCAGCAGTGTACTTCGTCAGTCTGCCTGCTCTGCTCTCCACTTTGACTGGTGAATTCTCTCACCCTCCCGCGCTTCTGACTGTACCCAGTGCTTGTATAAATAAATAAATAAATGAATCTTTGAAAAAAAAAAAATGAACAATGTAAGAAAAAAGTTTAATCAATAAAAAAAGGGCCAGGTATAATGCTGCATTGCAGGCTTTTCACAGTACTCCACAGACCAGGCCTGTGGCCTCTTGGTTTTTCCTCTCCCAGAGGTGACAAGGAGGTCTTCTCTAATATAAACCTATTCTTGCTTGTTCAGCTTTATTTTTTTATTTCCTTTAAAGGTCTATCAGATAAAATTCGTAAAAACAACATTTTGATGAGAGAATTAGCTGAAAAGATGAGGTTGGATCCAGAAGAAAGACGGTGTGAATTACAACATTTCATCAATAAAATACTTAAGTAAGTGCTACTTTTTGGACTGTGTGCACGCACTGAAGCTGAGGCCTATGTAGGTCCCTTGGTATCTCAGAACTTTCAATGGAGAAATGACTGTGAAGAAAACACTGTGTTGAGGGATAACTCTATTTTTTCCTCTATTGCAGTATTAGAGGAGGCCTCCAGGGGGGGAATGAAGTAAAGAGGTTCTGAGTACCTGCACAAGCAGGAGAAAAAGGACAAGACTATTTCCACAGTTTAAGGGAGTTTATCTGAGAACAAGCAAAAGGGAACCTCAGATTAGAGGAAAATTTCCATGTTTTGCAAATGGATGATTGTTTTGCTTATTTTGTTTGGTTTGATTGTTGGGAAATACTTTAACTTTTAGACATGAGATTACGCAAACGGAGTTTCAGCGCTGGAATTTGAATTTTGATACCAACTTTTTGTCCCTCTCAGGAAGAGTTTTGAAAGAAGTAACGATTTCCCAAGGAAGTGTAAAAGTAAGACAGTTTCAAAATTGTCATGTTGTGTTCTGGTCAAATGACGAATAACACAAAAAGGAACTAAAGCATGCATCTCGGTAACCTCTCTTCTCAGAGTGCCTGTTCTTTCTGCATGAGAGAACAAGTAAGCACTCAAAAAGAACACATTAGGGCCTCCCTGGTGGCGCAGCAGTTGAGCGCTGGGTTGTAAAGCTGCCCGCGGCCTCTGCGGCGCCGGTTCGATCCCCGGCTGCTCCCCGGCCACTGGAGGAGGGTCCCACATGGCGTGCAGACCTCTCCTGCCGCCCGCTGCTTCCCTCAGCAGTGTACTTCATCAGTCTGCCTTTTCTGCTCCCCCCTCTGGCTCTGGTGAGTTCTCTCACCCTCCCGCGCTTCTGACTGTACCCAGTGCATGTATAAACAAAACAAACAAACAAATAAATAAAAACATGCCTCTATAAAATTAAAAAAAAAAGAACACATTAATTGCTTAGCATATAGTAAATGCCCCACGTGCCATTATCTATTAGTATTGTGGTTATTTTATCAGGGCAAATCCTAAGAGTCAAAAAGCCTAGAATCAGAATAATCCAGAGTGACCCACGATAGAATTCCGGTATTACTAGCCTATAGCTGAAGGAAAAAAGACCTAATTCAATCATGACTACAGTTTAAAATTGTACTATTTCAATAGGAAGTAGTTTTTCAGTGGGAAGGATCTTAGGTAATTTTACAATGATGCTGTACACCATGTCTTGGAATTCTCCTCCAGTTCGTGCCCCATCCACAACATGCAGAGTGGTCCAGAGATGTTAGAGCTACACATTTAATTAATGCAAAGTCACTGGATAATTGGTTACTGCTCTATACTAAGAGAAGTCGTGATGCCGCCCTATCCTTGGAGAGGAATCTATATAAAGTGACACCCACCATGAATATAACTATGAGGCGCCCAACCACGTGAGTAGAAATTGTTTCTGATTTAAAAAATCAGTTGTTAGCAAACTGAAATTGGGATAACTGAAAATATTAAATTCTAGGAACCAGTCACCTTTCCAAACTGAAAGTTTGTAAACAAAAAAGTAAAATCGGGCCTCCCTGGTGGCGCAAGAGGTTGAGCACCACACTATGGGGCAGTCCACAGCCTCTGCAGCACAAGTTTGATCCCCGGCCGGCTGGGGAGCAGCCCACATGGCGCAGCAGACCTCTCCTGTCTTGCCTGCTGCTCCACTTAGCCGTGTATTTCAGTCAATCTGCCTGTTCTGTTCCCCACTCTGTCTCTGGTGAATCCTCTCATCCCCCGCATCTCTGGCCTGTACCCCAGCTCTTGTATGCATAAATAAATAAATCTTTTTTTAAAAAAAAGTAAAATCTACTCTAGTCAACAAATATTAACAGGCTTCTGTTCTATATGCTTTGTGGCTATTGGGATAGATGGAGACAAAGACTTGAGAATAAGCAATATGATGTTTATGGACATAGGGTGGGGGGTTGGTGCAAAAGACTTGTTCCCAATCATGTTCCCCAAATTAAACTTATTTTGTTTAAAAGAGAGCTTTCAACTCCAATGTCTTTTAATTGAAATGGTCTAGTATGGTATTTTATCTTGTCTTGGTATCATGTTTCATTAGCTGATAAAATATCTGTTATATATTTTACTATTCATTACTTTTTGAATATAGATGATCAATTTATTTTCTAGGTTTGAAGTGAATGATTCAGTTGATTCTTATGTAAGCACCATAGAAAAAAATGCTGAAAGAACACAGATGGTAAGTGTCTGCTTTATGAACAGACCCTAAGTGATTGTCTGAAACTGCATTTGTAAATACGTTAGCGTTTAGAATGTTGTCATTGGTTTCTGAAACTAGCCAACAAATACAAGTTTACGTCTGTAAGATAGCTGAATGCAGACTTTTGGTTTTTAGCTACTAACTGTCACATGTTGTGCTAATTCTTTTGGTTTGAGGAGTTGGAATTATAAAAAGTCTCGTAAGCTAAAATACTCTACACATGTAAAGTAGATTCTGGTAATCATGCCATTCACCATCTTCCTCCCCAGTTGTCACCTACCGTGTTTATGACCATCTGTGAGCTGTCTCTTCTAGCATGTGTTTGTACCTTTGCTTTGTATTGTTCTTGGGATTTTCCCTTTCCTTTCTCCACTCAATGGCTTAGATCATTATTATTATGTGTTGTTTTAATTACTGAAGCAGTGTCTCTTTTCTTCCTTCTTGATTCCTTCCCCATAATTCATCTTGGATTCTTTCTCCAAGATGCTCTTTAAAAGGGATCTTTGGTTTCTTGATCACAAAACATAAAGGCCAGATTTTCTTTCTTTCTTTTAGTTTCCACTAAGGAACTTTTTAGGCTGTTCTGAAGGATACCTTGAATAGCTTAGTTCTTCTCAGGAAGAGACACGTCCATGATATTCCAGAAGCTGAAATATTAGTAAGCAATGTTAGCTAACCACTCTCAGAAAACACAGATCCATAGAGTCTATATGATTTAAAACTCAAATTTAAAAGTTTGAGCAACTAACCTACTAAAGCATACATATATAAATGTCTCTCTCTCTCTCTCTCTCTCTCTCTCTCTCTCTCTCTCTCTCTCTCTCTCTCTGTGTGTGTGTGTGTGTGTGTGTGTGTGTGTGTGTGTGTGTGTGTGTGTGAAATCTGTGCTTCTTTAAAATAAGTCTGTAGGTTTGATTTGTCTTTGTATTTAACTGGTCATGATAGGGTTGGAGAATTCCCAGGAAAATAATGAAGGATTGGTATCCTATAGACCATAAACTAACCATAGTACTTTACAGCTAGAAATCATTAAATCATACACATTCAAGAACCAAATAATTATTTCTAGTAATAATATGTGAAAGAGAATAACACCAACAGAAATTTAAAACAGACAACCTCTTAGAACTGGGAGATCACATAAGTCCTATATACCAAACAAAACCTACATGAAAAGAAACAGCAACCCAGGACCCACAACCCCTGATGAAAGCATTGGGAATAAAGTCTGAATTTTAATTTACTGAGGACACAGTAAATTGAAATAAAGAAGAATGGAACAAACAAAAAAAGCAGAAACTAAACAGAAAACATCCAACAAACCTAAAGCTGACATAATAAAATCTAATGTTGAGAGTGAAGATAAGAAGGTAAGTCTCAGCACCAGCAGGAGCAGATATCAGCAGTGTAGATTCACTGAAGATTAAAGATATTAGAACACCATGGTCTAGGGTGTGCCAGTAAATTTGGATAAATTTTAGAAAAATGATTAAATGGTCAGTGTGGTGAATTATGGGGAAAATATTTCTTTTCATGTTGGGTAAGCATTTGGTAAAATCAGCACCTCTCCATGTGAAAGGGAAACTCAGCCTAGAATGAGACTTTGCTTAGGTGGCTGATAAAAGATGTCTTCCCAAAACATCTTCTAAAAATAGTATGGATCATTTTTCATTAGAGTCAGGATCAAACCAAGTAGTACCTTTTCTAAGTGCTCAGTGCCCTACTGGATATCCTGGTGAATATTTCAAAACATGTTCTGCATCTTTTAAAGCAGGCAGATTCCAGAACTCTCAAGCTTGTTTGTTCAGTGGTAAAATGGGGATAATTGTATTTATCTCAGTAGGTTGAAAGAATGAACCAAGGCAAATAATCGCACACATAACAATCATCCCACACATAACAATCATCCCATAAATGGTGACTATCCTGACGGCATAGTTTAGTCTCTGTTTTAACCCATCCTTAACTTCATGATAAACTCCTGGAATTTAAATAAACCAGAGCAAAGGATTTTTCAAGTTTTAGCAGCTGATGCATATTGCTCAATAAGCTGTTTTGCAGTCTGTTTCTTCCAAGTTCTCTCATCATTGTTTAATGTGACTCTAGACCGTACTTTGTCAGTAATACCTAACTAGCTTCCTCAACATGGTGTGCATTTCTCTATCACTATTACTGCATCTTGGTGAATTTCATGTTTGCTTTCTTTCAAGGTTGTTTGTGTGCTGTCCAGTGACAAGAAAGAAGTGTATGATGGCATAAAAAAATACCTGTGTGTCAGCTGCCCAATTCCAAGCCAGTGTGTGGTGGCACGGACCTTAGAAAGACCCCAAGTGGAAAAGACCATTGCTACAAAAATTGCCCAGCAGATGAACTGCAAGATGGGGGGAGCCCTCTGGAAAGTGGACACCGGAGTACGTTGGGTTTGGTTGCCTCCCCTTTATTTTGTATGTGTTTAGTGGAATGTGAGATCCTATTTAGCTGTTTTTTTAAAGTTTGATTATTAATTTTTGCTTGTATTCTTCCCTAACTCAATTTACTATCTATTTTAAAATTTAAGGTGAAGAACGCAATGTTCATTGGTATTGATTGTTTCCATGATATTGTCAATCGACGGAAGTCAATTGCAGCATTTGTGGCAAGTTGCAATGAAGACTTAACACAGTGAGTAAACTTTGGTGGTTATTGTTTGGTCAGTCGCTATCCATAATCCAGATAGGAGAAGTGGACCTAACGAATGTTAGTTGACAAGCTCCATATTAACAAGTTGTCCATATTAACAATGTGCTTTCCTGATCTTCTGGCAAAGTTATGCTCCCAGGACATTTTATGTGAAGTTTCTACGTCATTTTCTATTGCTGCCTTAAAAAGTACTACAAATATGGCAGCTGAAAACAATACCCAGTGCCCATGCACTGTCCTGTGGGTCAGGCATCTGTCTCTGCATGGTTCTTGGAGTCTGATAAGACAGAGAAGAAAGTGTCAGAAAGAAAGTGGGCCATGTTGTCATCTGGAGGCATGAGATCCTCTTCCAAGCACCCATAGTCGTGGCAGAATCCATTTCCTTCCGGTTGTAGGACAGAGGTCTCCGTTTTCTCGCTGTCAGTGATGGGTCAGTCTCCGCTCCTAGACTTTCATCTACAGTCCTTCTGGCACTCCCCACTCCCACACCCCAGGGCACACTGAGTTTTTGTTCTGCTTACAAGATCTCCAACTCCCTCTTCTGCCATTAGCCATAGAAAACTCCCTGCTTTTCTTTTTTTTTTTTCTTTTTTTTCTTTTTAATTTTTAGAAGCTAGAGAAAACCCCCTACTTTTTAAAGGGACTCATGAAGTAGATAAGCCCCATTTGGAAAACCTCATTATCAAAGTGAGCTGTGCCATGTAACATATTCCCTGGAGCAATATCTCACCTTATTGCCAGGGGAAGGGATTAGGACAGGTAGAATTCTGCCCACCATGGGCTCATTTAGTGAGTCTTTCCACAGGGATCACAAGCACATGGGGGAACAATTAGGCTGTACATGGATGAAGACAGGACATGGGAACATTACCAGTGGCCTAGAAGGATAGACCTTCTCATACATTTATGTCTAATAAGCCTGTAAAAGGAGGCACATTTCTCTGTCTCATGCTGCTCCTTTTTTCCTGGGCTCCTTTCATTTTCAGAGCTTAAATAAAAACCACCTTCAAGAGGTTTGTACACTCTTGAGTTTGTCATTCCTTGTGTATTACCACACATCTGACCAACACAAGTCAGCCGGATATTTAGTGATGTGTGTGGCCCACAAAGTATAATTCCAATGTAATCTTAAGGAAGACCCATCTTTATTTCACAAATGACATTTTTTTCCCGGCTGTACTCTGTGTCAATAGAGTAACATTGTCTTGCTCTGGTTTTTGTTGTTGTTGTTGTTGTTTGTTTGTTTTAGATTTAGAAACTAATGTTGTGAGCATAGGGAAGAATTAAGCTTTCATTTATTTAGTAGATTTTTTGAGTGCTTGCTCTGTTCAAATGCAGAGAGGGCAACAGTGAAAATTAGAGCCAAAGTGCCTATCCCATGTAGTGTACATTCTTTTTTTTTTTTAATCCTTTTTTTTAAAAAGATTGATTTATTTATTTATACAAGCACTGGGTACAGTCAGAAACATGGGAAGGCGAGAGAATTCATCAGAGCCAGAGTGGGGAACAGAGCAGGCAGACGGACGAAGTACACTGCTGAGGGGAGCAGCGGGCGCGACAGGAGAGGTCTGCGCATCATTTGGGACCCTCGCAGGAGGCCGGAGATTGAACCGCGCTGCAGAGGCTGCGGGCAGCTTCACAGCCCAGCGCTCAACCGCTGAGCCACCAGGGGAGGCCCTGTAGTGTACATTTTGGTGAAAAGGCAGACAAGTAAAGCGCATCATGCCAGGTTGTCCTAATACTCTGAAGTAAACTGAAATGCACTAAGGAGATGGAAACTTGACACAAAGGTCATTTTTTATATTTATTTATTTATTTATTTGCTTGTTTGTTTGTTTATTTATACAAGCACTGGGTACAGTCAGAAGCGCAGGAGGGTGAGAGAATTCACCAGAGCCAGAGCGGGGAGCAGAACAGGCAGAAGGACCGAGGTACACTGCTGAGGGGAGCAGCGGGCGGCAGGAGAGGTCTGCGCACCATGTGGGACCCTCCTCTGGTGGCCGGGGAGCAGCCGGGAATCGAACCAGCGCGGCAAAGGCCGCAGGCAGCTTCCCAACCCAGCGCTCAACCGCTGCGCCTCCGGGGAGGCCCACAAAGGTCATTTTTATGTGATATGTTGAGACACAGTCAGAGTAGCTGTTACTCTTCCAGAGCAAATTGCTTCCTCAAAGCACATTATGATGAATGGGCCACTGTTTAAGACATCAGTCCACAAGGAAGATCCCCAGGAATACCAAGTTTTCATTTTGTGGCTTCCTCCATTAGGTGAAAGGATTTCACCCATTTTACCCTGAAAGCACATGACTTCCAGTAATGTCGGTGCATGTTTCTACTCTATAGTTCTGTATACTCAAAATTGTAGAAAATGTTGTAAGTTATCAGAAAAGACCGATACTTTGATCTCTGCAGGGAAATGAAAATTAAGTGGATCCTCAGCTAGAGTGATTTTTTTTGAGGTAATAGATTAGTTTTAAATTAAAATTAAGAAACCTCAAGAGTCCTCTTTTCCAGACTGATGATTAATTTTACTCCAAACAGGTGGTTCTCCCAATGTGTTCTCCAGGAAACAGGGCAGGAACTTGTGAGTGGACTGAGAGCTTGCTTGCAAGGTCAGTACCCTGGGGAGACTGGAGAACCTGACCCTCTATACCAGTAGTTCTCCAAGAGTGGAGATGTTGATCCCCAGGGGACCCTTGGCAATGACTGAAGACACTTCTGTTTGTGGGTGGGGACCAGGGATGCTGCTAAACATCCTGTGCTTACCCTGCACAGGACAGCAACCTCCTCCTCATCACCACAAAATACTCTCTGGCTCAATATTTCAATAGTGTTGAAAATTCTTGGACTCGGCTGAAGACTGAAGCAATAAAACTCTTGAATGCTAAGGTGTTGAAAAATGAACCTAGATTTCATTGAAAATGGCATTGGTCTGTTCATCCCAAATTACCTCTTATTTTAATGTTTCCTTTCAGCTGCCTTGAGACTCTGGTATAAACATAATGCATCTCTGCCACATGGTGTTATTGTGTATCGGGATGGAGTGGGAGATGGTCAGCTTCAAGCATTGATGGACCATGAAATACCACAGTTTGAGTCTGCCTTAGAGGAGATTTTCAAGTCACTACCGTAGGTATATAAAATGTAAAGTGTAAATTGTGTAAGCTCTACATTTCAGTCTCTGAGAAATATCCGCATCAATTTTGACATGGGAATGATAAGAGCCAGATCTTGGTACAGAGGGCCTCTGTGTGTGGGTGGGGGAGAAAATAAGCACTTCCCCCTGGGACTCTGTGCTCCACCTTCCATGTCAGAGAAAAAGGCAGAACTGGAACATGCAGTGGCAGTTTGCTTATCCCCACAGAACCCTTTTGAATCCTTTTTTTCTAATATCCCTTCAAGACGTGATATTGGAGGGCCTGCTCATCTCAGAAATGCATTAAATCCTATAAGCTATGAATGGTTTGCACTTATTCAACATTTTTATCCTGGAGTATTGTAGGTACCCGGACTGGGAAGCCCTCAGGCGTCATCTGTTTGTAGAGAAGCCTAGTGTCCAGCATAGAGAGAAGAGCCCCTGACCTTGTGAGGAAGAGAGGCTTCCCCTAGTACACAGGCAGATGAGTAGAAACCTCCTCCTTGAGCCAGGCACATGATGCTAAAACAGTAAAATTGGGATGTGCAGAGAGCTGCCACCTGCAGCCTTTTTAGTGTATCCCCCATAGGTGATGTTTCAGCTGAATGCTGCTGAGAAGAACTGAGTAGAAACATAGTGACACTGATCATAATTTTTTTAAGTTTCGCACTAACTTTTATTGTGGTGAAGAAACGAATAAATACCAGATTTTTTATTGAGACTCGAGGAAGATTTGGAAATCCACCTCCAGGAACAGTGATTGATGTAGAGTTGACACATAGGGAATGGTAAGCCATCTTTCTGTTTAAAAATTTCCTTTCTTTAAACAGTAACAGGAATTTTTCAGATTTGCATGAGTTGAAGAGCTGATCTAAAGGTTAATAATTATGTGACTGATAAGTTGGGTTATAGATTTTTCTGTTTTCAATCACTTTCTCATAAAATTAGAAAAAATATATCAGTCTAAGATTCTTCAGCTGTTAGGAAGTATGGCTGAACTTCTGGCACACTTTAGACTTGTCAATTATGAAAACTTTGCAAACTACAATTGGATACAAAAGACATTTATATCAGCAGATAGGGAGAAATGAAGTCAAATTACAGGGAGGCAGAGAAAGATTAATGAAAACAAATGACAGGCATGACAAACATCAAGAACATTAAGATACACATAAAAATGAATCCAGTATTTATAATAAGTTATAAACCCTGGATAATTATAATAAGTTATAATAAGTTCTACCAGGTAGGAAGCTTGACTGTATTCTGGTGATTCTTAGGGAGAGGCAGGAATTGTCCACCCCTGGATCTCTGAATCCAGTTACTTATGAACAGATCAGATGTGCCCATTTTATGTTTCTTCCTCTAGGCATTAGTACATAAGGTTTTTTATTATTATTATATTTTACATTTTTATTTTATATATTTTTACATCATTTTTTCACAATGTATGCATTTTCATCTTGGTTATATTCCCCATACAATCTCACCCCCCTTGTTTTGACCCTAATCCCTCCTCTACTCTGGCCCCCATAGTGTGTCTCTGGTTTATAGTTGCTTGTTGATTTTGATTAGTACATGTGCTTTTAAGTCTCCATCCTAGGAGTGTTTACCTGGGTCAATGATTTCACTGTCCTTTGTAGAATTGCTTTATGAAACGACTGCTTAATAGCCAGCCTTCTTAAGTATGAAGAAAATTTTCTAGGAGATGGGTTTCTATAATGTCACTTCAGATACTAGGCTTTGCTGTGTTCTTTTTCTTCTTAAATAAGTGATACTCTCCTATTCTGTAATTCCAGGTATGACTTTTTTATCATAAGTCAGCATGTGAAAGATGGTACTGTCACCCCCACTCATTACAATATCATCTACGACACATTTGAGTTCAGCCCAGATAAAATACAGTGTCTAACTTACAAACTATGCCACATGTATTATAATATGTCAGTAAGTATCTTTTGATACTGGGTTTTTTTCAGATGTATAAAATTGTTCAAGATTGAATCTATACTTTTTGAATCTTTGAATTACTATCTGCGAATTTAAATTTATGGAAAATGGATACAAACTTAAATTTGTGTGTGTGGTGGTGGGGGTGTTTCTTATTTCTCCTGAAGGGTATCATCAGAGTTCCTGCTCCTTGCCACTATGCCCACAAACTGGCTTACCTTGTGGGTCAGAGCATTCACCAAGAGCCACATCTTTCCCTGACAGACCGTCTATTTTACCTTTGACCGACAGAAAAAAAGCCTGATGGGATGTTGAAAACCACAATTTGTAAATTTTTTATTCCTTTTGAAGCTGTACATCTAATTTTCCTAGATGCATAATTTTAAACACTAATTATTCTTGATTGGACTTGGAGAAGATTTACAGTGACAATTGCTATTTTCCATAGTCCCACTAATGGGAGACTTCTGTTCTCCAGACTGGAGAACTGAGTGTGGGGCTTTTGTTTTGCAGTTGACCTTTCAAATGTATTATGACCATTTTATCACTAAAAATGCCTTAACACTTTACACTCAAAGCCATACTACTGTATTTTTTGGGGGGCAAATGTTGAACATTAGTCAGATGAAGAGAGACTACATCTGTGAACAAGTAAATTCCTTGGAAAATTATATTTATTTTTGAAACATTTATTTTGTTTTCAGGGATAGCAAATATTAAAAATAGCAATTTTTATTTTGAATGAAAAAAAACTATGTGTGAAATATGCTTGTTCTCTGCTAAGGTAGGAATTTGAGTGTATTTTTGGTGGAACTGTAATGAGAGTTATGTGATTAAAAAGTTGGTGGCTTAGGAACATTAAAATGTTTTGTCACTCTTTCCACAAAGAAGGGAAATTAAGAACTCTATTAACATTTCTGTTTAATTCATTCTCTTGACAAATCCAAGAGTGTCATAATCAGAAGTGTCTTGAGTAAGGTGTTAAAGACAGCTATTATGTTTTTCCTGAAAATGAGACATATTTTTCTCCTCTCCACTTAAAGCTTTCTTTCAATGTACTTAAGAAATAATATGTAAAGCCTTTCCATCCTCTTATACTCAATAGAATGGTATGGGAGTGGGGAGAATAAGATTAACCTTAAACATACCCTTTCTTATTTTTTAAGACAATATAATTATCTTGATTATAAGTTAATCAATTTACATTTGTAATTTGAACTGTCTTAGAAGATGCAAAAAAGTCATCAAAATAATGATACATAACCAATAATGATAAATGTAGAAGATGGTTCTATAATTAACAACAAGTTAAGGCAGCGTGTTCTTTTGTGGAGCTAGAATTTGATTTATGATAATACATTTGTAAGAGATATATAAAAACTTGGAAGGAACAAATTCAAAGTGGTTATCAAAGACTTTCCTGGATGTGTCCTATAAATACAAACATCATTTATTCATAACACTTCTAGCTCCGTAGATTTAAAATGTGATTCAATAAAGGCATTCATGTTAAACTCATTGAATTGTTTCATTTAAAAATCTATGTTGGCCTTAGTCTTCTTACTCCACTGATTAGGGAAAAAATGTTCTTTTTCCTAAGATAAATGACCATATGTTATGACTAGGGGACTAGGGCACTTGATTTTTCTTAGACTGCTAGGTGACAAACCAACTGCTGATATCATACTAGTGAAAAACTGAAGGCTTTTCCTCTAAGATCAGGTAACAAGAAAAGGATGCCCATTAGTTTTTTGTTTTTGGTTTTTTTTTGACACTTGGAAAGTATTGTGTTTCAGGTATTAGATGAGATCAAGTTTATTGATTGGTAAAAACCAAGATGGTTGAGTAAAAAGCAAACATTATAAAACAATGTTTACAGGATGCTCTTTAATTGTTAAAAATATAATATCACATCTCTGATACTTAAAGACCCCACAAAGGGACTTACTCCCTCATTTGCCACGTACCTGGCTCCTACCACCTGTCAGCCACGTTCAACTCCATTAGAAACAAATAGCAGTTATCACACTTCCTAAGACATACCACCTTGGGAACCAATTAACTAAAACAGGGTTGTTGTTTTTTTAAAAGCTTTGTCCTTTTAAGATTTATTTATCTATTTATACAAGCACTGGGCACAGCCAGAAGCATGGGAGGGTGAGGGAATTCACCAGAGCCAGAGTGGAGAACAGAACATTATCATCACTGTTGTTCAGCATAGTATTGGAAGTCCTACCTAGAGCAGTGAGACAAGAGAAAGATATAAAAGGAATCCAAATTAGAAAAGTAAAAATACCACTACTTACAGATCACATAATAAACATAGGTAATCGTAAAGACTCCACTAAACTCTTTAAACAATAAATCAGTAAAGTCACAAACTACAAAATCAATATATAAAAGTCTCTGCATCCCTCTATGCAAACAAACTAAGAAATAAAACAATCCCATTTATAACCAAAAGAATTAAGTTCCTAAGAATTAACAAAGGTAATTATGCTCTTGGAGTAATAAAATCAACATTGTTAGGAATATAGGGGAACCAAATAAGACATCAGTGTAAAAAAACAGTAACAGTACAAACCACAACAAAGCAAAAACAGACAATTATAAACCAGAAACATCCTGCAGGGAAGGAGGAGGGAAAGAGGTGAGAGGGAGGGAGTGAGGAGCACAGGGGACTGTGGTGATGGTGCATGGGTGCCTTGGGGAAGGAAATTCTAGGGGGACTCAATCTGAGGGGGTGGAGGGAAGCAAATATTGTCTAAAAAAATGTAAAAAAATGATAAATGTTAAAAAAAGAATTAACATTGTTAAAATGACCATGTTACCCAAAGTGATATATAGATTCAATGCAATCCCTAACAAAATTACAATAGTTTTCTTCAAGGAAATAGATCAAACATTACTGGAATTTGTATGGAATCATAAAAAGATATAGAATAGCCTAGGCAATTCTGACCAAAAAAAAAAAAAGAAAGAAAGAAAGAAGGAGGTATGAATCACCCAGACTTCAAACAATATTGCAAAGCAATAGTAATCAAAACAGTATGGTATTGGACTAAAAATAGATACACTGACGAGAACCCAGAAACAAACCCACATATGAACAGTTAATCTACAACAAAGAAGCTAAAAAGATACAATGAAAAAAGGAAAGTCTCTTCAATAAACTGTTGGGGAAACATTGAACAGTATTTGAGTACAAAGGCAAGGGAAACAAAGACAAAAATAACCAAATGAGACTACATCAAATTAAAAATTCAAGAGAAACACCGAACACAAAAATTAATTCAAAATGTCTCAAGTACTTGGATGTAAGACCTGAAACTATAAAATGCATAGAAGAAAACAGAGGCAAAATACTCTACATTGCTTCAGGAATGTCTTTGGGGACTTGAGTACAAAGGCAAGAGAAACAAAAGTAAAAACTAAATGTGACTACATCACATTAAAAAGCACTCGTGGTGAAAGGCACAGATTAAAACACAGACATTCTATGGCCTCCCTGGGGGTGCAAGGGGTTAAGCACAGCACTATGAAGCTATCCTCAGCCTCTTCAACATGAGTTCGATTCCCAGCTGGCCAGGGAGCAACCCACATGGTGCAGCAGACCTCTCCTGTCTTTTTTGCTGCTCCCCTCAGCAGTGTATTTCAGTCAGTCTGCCTGTTCTGCTCCCCACTCTGTCTCTGGTGAATCCACTCACTGCTCCCCCCACACACCTCTGGCCTGTACCCCAGTTCTTATATGCATGAATAAATAAATCTTTTTTTTTAAAAAAAAAAGATTCTACTGAATGGAAGAAAGTATTTGCACATCATACATCCAACAAGGGGCCAATATCCTAGATCTACAATGGAGTTATACAACTCAACAAGAAAACAACAAAAAATAAAAAAAATAGGCAAAAGAGCTAAACAGACCAAAGGAAAGAAAAACAGAAGAGCTAATTGAAAATTAAACTCAGTGATCTAATGATAGGTTATGGGTTTACAGGATTATAGTGTTCTGGTGGTGGGTGCAATGGGGGTACATACATGTGAAAGGTGTGAGCCCATTCTTTTTTTGGGGGAGTGGTCCTGACCACTGGCTTTGATGCCAGTTTACACAGGCAGGAGAGGCCATGCACACTGTTCTAGACCCAGGAATGTCTGGTGCATCTGTGGTCTTCTGGTTTCCAGGCACCGGCTGGAACAGAGCTATTTTTCCTAATGAATCTGCTTGGCATGAATTGCTCAGGGGGCTTGAATTCTTTGATGCCACCTTCCATTTTCTGTTTAAGAGCACTGCGGCACATGATTGAAAGGCAGCTTCTATCTACCCTCCCTTCTCTTGGTCTTTCATTTTATAGCAAAATGAACCGGTATAGCATTAAATAACAGATGAAGCCGCAGTGCCAACGGGAATATACCTAATATCTGGAGCAGTGAGTGTGGGGTCCAAATAATAGGCTTTTAGCTCAATGTTCCAATACATTTACTATCAATATTGGCATTACAACCTTATCACCAATGCTAGTGTTAGACCACATTGCAAAATGGCAAATGTAACCTGAAAATTAAAGTCAAAGGCATATTACTAAAGTTCTGTTTAGTCCTTAGTCTTAGTCCTTCTGTTCAGTCCTTAGTCTACTCCATCATCATCTTGTATGACCAGAATGCCTGCCAGAGAGAGACCTCTAAGTCTTGCAGGTTTCCATTTAATATTTCCAAAAGTAAGAGTAATCGCAGTTACATATGGCTTCACCTTTTTAGTATCTGGCATAATTGAGCAAAGAGCTTTTGGGAAGAATATTGGATCCCCCTAATTGCACAACCCATGCATTCATGCCTTTATCCTCAGGTATTATCTTGCCTTTCCATTTATACAGAAATAATGGACTCTACCAATCATTAGGTGATAGAGGGTACATTCATCATTAACCCCACTTTCACTGGGTGTAATGAAAGCACAGTCCACTCAATCAGGCCCTTAGGAAGTCTGCTTTCCTAATGCCAGCTCTTGTCTCTTGCATTTTATTTGCAAGTGACAGTTAAAGGACCTGAGTTTGGTATCAACTTCACACAAAGTCTGAGTAAACAAACCTTTACCTTAATCCCATCCACTCTTGCACTTCTATGTCTTAGTGATGTAATTGTAGGTTCCATTAGTGTCTCACCTAAAGATTGTGGGTACTACACAGTTCCTGGGTTTCCCTTGTCAAGGTATATAACAAACTTCTCTCTTCTGCTCCCCAACTATTCCACCCACTGCTGGATACAAGGTTTTGAGTCTCCAGTGGGGCGATGAGCCAAGATGCACTGGCCCTCCCAACAATCTTTATCTTGATAAATTTGCTTGACTGTTCCAGGTGATTCCTGGTTGGGTTTCTCATTGTAAT